ATGGAAAACCAAAGATAAGGAAGATAAGAAAAGCACAGTGTGTTCTATGAAAGAATCCACGATAATAACGGACTTTCCTTCCAGCGAAACCTAGAGCACGATCGCGGAGGGCAGAGTGACACCTGAATGAATCCTTTGTAAAGTACAAGCAAACAGCCGATGGACCTTTTCTAGCGCCGGGGTGACTGCCGGGGCGATCCACACGGACGGGAAGACGTCGTCGTCCGGACAGTCCTCGCAGTTCGTCCTCGTCTACCTAATTCTACCTATATTCCTTATCCTAGTCTTGGCTATGAATCCATGAATGAATCCATTTACCTAATATTCTTTGTTTCTGTATTGTTATGGGAAAAAGTAATCGGTGCGATCGATACAAAATCAATTAATTAATGATACTAAAATTATCTAACACTTCACATAGACTAAGACAGAAACACATCCGTTTCAAAGACGGAGGTCGAGATTTACAAACCTTCTAACCAAACCAGACGCAGATTTCGATTAAGAAAGCAGTGGAGGCCCAAGGAGCCGGCCGAGACGCGCTCCTTCCGCGACCTCCACTGAGAGAGCATCTTAAAGACAAAGGGAGGAAGGATAAAAAGAAATTCAAACCGTGTCCAACGCGGCCAAAACTAACATGATTTGTCTAACGCGGAAACACATGCTAACAACAAAAACAAAAACTAATGATAATATTCTCTGCACTAACTGGGTATTCCGTGGCGTGCTGGTTGATGATAATCTGCTTAGGATAAGACGATTGACCCCTAAAACAAAAAGTAACTAAAGAAAAGAGGAACAGGAAAACGATAATCAACCAAACAGCTATTGTTCCTTTAGCTTAACCATTCTCGCACTTTATCAAGTATTTTTTTTATTTAAAAACATACAAAAAGAACTAAACCATACATTGCCGGATGTAGTTCGGTAAGCCTAACTGTGTTCCGTGAGCATTACTGGCGACTTCAAATCCACAAGCGAAACCCTCAGCATGGTGTAGCCGCTCTACATGATATCGGACGAGGGTTTCCAAAATAGGCGACGTTTAAGTCAACTGTGATATGTGTGCCGGCCCTCGGCGTGGGGAAGCTGCGGGGTGAGCGTGTCCCTGGGCGAACGACCTCCAGATTCCAAAACTAAGTAGGAGCTTCTTTTTTTCATCATTTACTGGAAGGAAATGTTTATTGGGTTAATGTTATATAAAACTGACTTGGATATATGGTGAATCATGATCAGATATTTTTCATTTGTTAATTATCATTCTTGTTATTGTTCTCCGAACGAATGGACGTCTCACTGAAGGATGTGAAGGAACTCGCGTCAGTACTGATCGACGCGTTCTTTCACATCCGCCGATAGGATATTGCTCTAGTCAGTTTTGGAATTTGGAATCATGCAGCCAAAATTTGCTTTTGCATTTGTGAAAAAACGTAGGCGAAAAAGGTGGTTCCTGTAGTGACATGTAGATATTAGGATGACGTAATTTAGTTGATGTGGCTTCTTGCTGGAAGTCTGTTTCCCGTACCTGTATGTATTTGTCGCGTGGCCAGAGAAAGTCAGCTCCTTCTTATATCATTAAGGTTGTATATCTGATTCCACCTCCTTATTTCAGTGAATTTACTTCTTTTGATATTTTTCTTTTTCTTCTTTTTTTTAAGAAGCACTGAGAATGACTACAAAAGAAGCAAATTAATCATTCTGATTTTATCATATCAGTGTTGACTTTATTATATATACTCATTATTATCCTTATCATTTTTTTTCTAAACTATGGTAAATCTTTTCCCCATGATACTGCTAATTTTCATAAGCCACACGATCCCTTTAAGTTTAGAGAGCAGCGTTGCAAGATGTACATGTATTTTTTGTGTGTGTGTTCCGAATCCACTGGTCTCCTTGTGTTCCATTCACATCGGCTCAACAACACTTAGAGAAGGAAAAAGAGACGATGAGAAGTAATATGATTTGACTTCATATTGCTTGAGTAATTAGCCACATTTGTTTTATTTTCATTTATCTTTTATATTTTTTTTCTTTTTTTGGCATCGGCTCAGTCACAGATATTATCATAAGATATGGATTTATCTTGATGTGTTTTTATTGTAGATCTTGTCGAAAATGAATATTTGGGCTTTAGATGCCTAAATGCAACATTGTTGACAATAAAGCAGTGTTCTTGCTAATGTTATGATTATCATTATCATTATCATCTAAATTATTACTCTAGCTGGCAGGTCTTTACTTTTGTTACAGCCCCTTCATGTCAATGAAGATGATTATTTTTCACCGTAACATTATTTGTACGACATTTAACCCTGAACAGAAAAAAGTACAGGTTTCAGACTTTGTGCTGCAAGTCTGAACGAACTGTGTTTCTTTTGCGGACATGGAGCTTATGTCAAGTTTATAATCTGTGTTAACTCCTTTCGTTGTGCGATGGTGCTTTTCACTTCTCATCGGACGATTGAATCTATTTTCGCTGTAACTTAGTATGATTTTC